AAGCCTCATTCCTGACTAAAGGAGGCTTTTAGCATATAAACTGTTAAGAAACTCCAGAAGAGAAAAGTTGTTACTCGATCACAGTTTTCCCCACTCACCTCTCATAGGATGAGAGAATTACAGGTCTCCAAATCTGGTTTCCTCTGCCTCTTGAGAGATGACTGAAAATGAACACATTGCCTCCAAAACATTCCCTAATTTGCAACTCCTCAGATGTAAACCATCACTGCCTCAGATGCTGGGGGTATGATCAGTGTTCACTGAAAACCCACCTAATTTTTTACAACACTTCGTGCTAGATTCACACAGAATTTACCCCAACCTCTTTGATTTCTGTCTTTTTTCCCCCATCTTTTTTCTTCATCCAGCAAGTGCATTTCCCTCTCTAAGGGACCTGGCAGATGGGTGACAGAGATTTTTCCAGCAGTCCCAGAGCAGTTCAGATAGAACATGAGCCCCATCCCTCCTGGCATAGCAGGGCTAGGCTGACCTCAAACTCCACAGGCTCTTCTCTCAAGTTAGTTATTCATAGGCAACTGGGGGGGCAAATAGTGCTTACACTTAGAAGAGGTCAGGATTTGGACCAGCCTAGAGATAAGAGTCAATATTTATTGACTCGCCTGGCAACCATCTTTGCTTTTATTGATTATCTCCCAAGCACCACTTTTTATCAATTTGATCAAGAGCTTGTGATTTTGTTTTATTTGTTTAGTGAACAAAACCCGAGGATGTGTTTGAGCTGAGCAGCAGCAGGTTTGGCTGTTTACAATTTTTCCTGGACCTCTGTATCATATCTCTGCTTAGGCTGAATGGAGCACCAAGAAAACCTTAGTTTGACATCCTAGCCCCACAAGTAAGGATGCAAAAGTAGCCAATAAAAGTAAAAGCTCACATAGCTGTGGAATACACACCAGAATATTCTGGCCTAAGGACTTTCCAAATTTTTACAACTGCTTTCTCAACTATTTAAAGTAACTCACACCTGAATTTTATATTACCCCATGGTCCATACAAAGTTCATCTGCATATGTACCTTTATTTGAATAATAATAATAAGCAGGTAGCTTACCAAACTGTCCTACAAAGATCAAAAAAGCCACTGAGTCAGGACAATGCCAAGGAGCAGCAAAAGTAGAGTTATACCACATGACCTCAGACAAGGATAAAATACTCCCTCAGCCTGAGCTTAACTAGAATGCCTGAATTTGGTCCCAGCTGGGTCTGGCTGGAGTGATTAAAGGCCTCTGTGTGCCCTCAGGTGACAGAAAGGCCTGAAAGTCTTCAGGAGCTCTCAAGTTCCTGTCTCCAATGATGTCTGATATGATGAGTGCATGCACAGACAATCTAAAGAGATGAGCATGATCAGAGCAGCTCAGGGAGCAAGCCTAGGGGAGCAAATATCCTGTGATATTATCTGTGGTTTGACAACTTCACAGCTGCATTGTTCCCATAAGAGTAACTATTTGTTGCCCATGGTGTGTCAAAGATTCATGCTTTATATCTCTGCACTTTTTCCAGGATATGAGCTTAATCTGAAATATTTTTTTCCTTTATTCTCTCTGTTTCTCTTTTCTGTGGAAACAATGTGCTTTACCTCATCACTGTAACACCGTGTAAGTCAAAAGTTTAAGACAAGAAAGACTTTCTGCGGAAATCTGACTCATGGAGAAGCCTTGGCCCATTTCCTGTCGGTCCAATCCACTTTAATGCTGTGCCTCTTCTAACACACCTCCACCTCACAAACACACCTTTCTATTCTTTGCCGTTGCGCCCTCAGAACTGATTTTTCTCCAGGCAGCCTCAAACCTCTAAAAGCAACAGCTGAAGCTGCTCCATGGCCCGAGGTCATCGCTGAGCTGGTGCGTCTGGGCAGCAAGCGAGTGGGAGACCCTGAGCACCCGCCCGGGCGGACAGCGCTCCTCACTACTCCCACCGCGGGCGGGCGGCGGGAAGGGGAAGGGAGGAAGGGCCGCCTCCCCCGGGGATGCCGCTCCTCCCCTCGTAGTTCGCCGTCACCTGGCCTTTGAGAACGGCGAGGGAGGAGAGGGGAGCGCTGCCGGCGGGGACGGCAGGTGAGGAGCGCGGGGCGCCCGTCGGGAGCGCGGGGCGATGTCGGAGCGAGCCCGGCTCGGGGCACCCGCGGGCGGCTCTGCGCTGCCCCAGGGCGCCCGGGGCGGGGCGGAATGCCCGACAGGAGCAGCCCGGGGTTGTTTCTCTCACAACCTTGTTTTCGCTGCGTTTAGGCGCGCTCCGGGGCCCCGCGGCCGCCCGGCGCTTCCTCCCAGTGCAAGCGGCGCTGCAAGCCGGGCACCCTCCGGGCCGTGCCAGGCACCGCCAGCCCCAGAGATACTTGGGGAAACATCCTTAACTTGGCTTTAACCCCGCGTCGTCAGCACGTTGCTCCAGCACGATTCACATCTTTTTCCATTCCCACTCAGCGTTTGAAGTTTGGGGCTGGAAGGGCTAAAATCTGCGGAGAGCTCGATGTGTAGAGCCATTACTGCTTTTAGATAGTTGCCCTGGCCAAAATGCGCTGCAGAAATGCCGAGTGGAGCCAGCAGTAGCCTGAGGACACGTTTCTGGCCTCTTTGATCCCCCCGTGCCAGGCCTTGCAGCTCCCACGTGGAGCCCAGGAGCTGGGGCGCGCTCCCGAACAGATCCAGGCTTGACCTGAAGGCTGAAAGATGTGGAGCCCTGGCAGTTTGGGTTTGGTTGGGGTTTAATAGTGAGGGGTTCGTTGTCTTCGTTGCTTTGCTTGCCCCGTTTTTGAGACCAAGCTTTGTTTGTGCTGCGTATTCCAGTAGATTTACAAGTGTTTGTGTTGCCTTATGTTCAAACTGAAACCTCCCTGTTTGAAGAGGAAGTGGGGGAGTACGTGGCTTTAGGGACTATGATGGAGTGCCAGGATTAGTGCACTGAGGCCATGGCTTTCCAAGCCGGTGAAAGAAAGGGTTTCACCCACCCCTTGGGCTGCTTATTTTCACCCATGTCAGCACAGGCACTTGTGTGCAGAATTAGACTGGGAAGCGAAACCAAATTTAAAAAGACGCCCAAAAAAATCCAGATCAGTTGCTAAATGTTTTCACTGGCCCAAGAAGGCAGATGAGACTGCTGCTTTTCTGTAATAATAATGGTTTATAGTGGAACAAGGGTGGGCAAAAGTAGAGTTCATCTACCAAACTGCACCCCTGTGCTCCTAAAATAAAATCCCATAGTTCTCATCCTTTGGCCATGGATTACTTTTGAAGTTGTTTCTTGATGGTTAGGAGCATGACTAGGGGCATTTTGACTTTTCTAAAGTCAGGAATTTTGTTTTGCTGTGAATACATTGCAAAGACAGCTGTCCTGTACACCTTGTACTGCACTTGTGCTGAACCTGCCTGGGACACCATCTCGGGACCGGGCTCTTGGATGCTTTAGGAGAGCCACAGTCCTTCCTCTCCACGGGTACCCCCAGGTCTAGTGCATACCTAAGTTCATAAATCCATGTGGCACACAGCAGCACAAATTCAAAATCCTTTTTCCCAGAGGCAGGAAAGCCAGTGTTCCCAGTCTCCAATACAATGCCTTTATTTACCAAGGCAAGCCAAGCAAACTTCTTGGATAAGTATCAACCTTTGTTGGTTTAGTAACTGGTGTAAAGGTGTAGGCTGGCACATGTAAGAGCCCAATTAACAGCAGCGCTTGTTCCATAGTGTGAATTGGCCTCTTGGAGTCCCACAGTTATCAAGCTGCAGTTTTCAGACTTAGGGCTCTCTATGTGTGTCGGTAATTTTGGAACTCAGGGCACACTCCCAGCCCCATTCCAGTGAAATTCGCTGGTAAGGTAATTGCCCTCTAAAAGGATGACTTTGAGCTCGTCATAGTATACATTTATGTCATTTGTTTAAGGGGAAATCCGTCTAATTTTTAAATACACATCCATTGTCATTGCCTCTATGTTTGGAATCACTTTCCTTATTAGTCGACTTTGTCATTACCACCTCACCTCTATTATTCCTTTGATGACAAATTTTATATCAATGGCATTGACATCAGGTTTTAAATTACTAAATACTTGTTTTTAAGAAGCCTGTAACGTTGTTACATCCCTGCTGGCTCAGTTATTTTCTATGTTAAAAGCCGTTTGTGTAGGGCCCCTTCAGCGAGAGTCTGTGACCTGAGTTCTCCTGTGTTGCTGAAAGTTTGCAATAAATGGAATTAATCCATTTTCGTGCCTACACGTCAACTGTAAGGGCTTGTTTCAGGACAGGGAGCTGATGTGGTACCTTCTCTCACTGGTTAAATATCACAAATCCTGCCTGCAGCATCAGTTACCTTATACCTACAAGCTCTTTCTTCAGCAGAACCCAGCTGATGATAACCAAAGCTTCTACTTGGAGCATCTCCTCTAGTTGGTTTTGGCATGATTACTGTTCACCTGGCAGGAGCCTGGTGGGATCTCAGACAATTCACCCTGCTGAAAAGGATATGTGCCTACCTCCCTGTGCAAGTCAGCAGAACTGACAAGAACTGCAGATCTGTGCCTGGATAATGCTGGCAGAGAGCCACTAAAATTGTCTCCCCTTGTATGTAACCAAATAGGTAAAACTACTGTCTGGATTTGGTCCTTGTGAATAAGCTGCTAGAACTGCAAGTGTAAGCTGAGATTTGCAGTGAAAATTACAGCCCTAAGTGTGCAAGTCAACAAAATGCCTTTTTTCACTGGACAGATTGCCAAAGCAGATCCCACTCACAACTGCAGGCTGTACAATGTCCAGGCTGGCAGATTAGCACTGGATGGTGGGCAAACCCAGCTAAAACTGAGCTATCTCTACCCAAATGGAGGCATCTGGGTTGGGGGTGTGGCAAAATCAAAATAAAACCAAAAATTCCTACATTCCTATCTTGCAAGAGCAATTGCAAAAGCAGAGTCTAGTTCAGAGGTAACAAGGTAACACCTCTGAAGTTCCATCCAAGGCCGCTGCGAAGTCCTGGCAGCGTGGAATGATGTGCAGGCTATGGAGAAATGCATTTGTTTCAGAGAGTGGAGGTAAATCATCCTGTTTGCTTGGTTGGTTTGCTTTTGCAGGGCTTACACAGACCTTTCCCAAGATGGTTTCCTCAAATGAATATGGGTCGCACACCTGGGAGCTCTCACTGACAGTTGATCATCAACATGAAGGCATAGAAAAGGTACAAGTACTACACATCACAGGGGACCTTCATGTTGGAGGACTGATGCTGAAATTAGTAGAAAAAATCGGTGAGTAAAGAGCTGTTTCATTTACACAGTGCTACTAAAGTAGCAGGTGCAGCTTTCCCCCTATGAAGAGAGCTTCTGTGTGTTTTGAAACGGTGCTGCCTCACTTCTGTCTCATGGCACAGAGTGTGGAGGTTCCCAGACCCAGGGGTTTTTGTGGTCAGAACCCCTCCCTGTGTTCCACCTTCTGTGGCTAAAGCATCTGCGTTACCATGGTGCCAACAAAACTTTAGGTTTGCCTTTCAGTTAGACAAAAATAATGAAACCAGGCTAACAATCCAGCTCCCTTTCCAGAAGGATGTTACAGGCTGTGTGGCTTGGGGGACAGGAGAGGTAGATGATGCCCTGTTTATCCACCCGTGGCTGTCAGAGAGGATGAGTTGTTAAAAGGCACTTCAGAAGTTCCCGTTTCCTGTGCTGTTGTGGCATTCTATCCTAAGTCTGAGCCATGTTATCCATTGCATAGATACAGTAAGGAAGAGCTGGGAAAAGCCAAGACTGGCTGAGTCTAAGTTAAGAAATGAAAAGTAAAATCCCCTGTGTACAGGCACAGCAGGGGAGCACAGGAAGAGAATCTGAGATCACTTCTGTCACCTTCTCTGCCTACTTAGACACACAGTTCAGCCGGAAACTGATGGTAGCCAGAGTTTCCACTGTGTCAGAAGAATAATTTTTCACAATATTTTTTTTTAATACTCAACTGGTGTGAAAAGCTTTATATATTAATATTTAAAGCAAATCTGTAACTGACTTGTGTCAGCAGCTCCCTTGAGACACAGCTCTTACCAGGGGACTTCAAAATAGGACAGGGCTCAGCTGTGTTATGGACATGCTGAGGAATAGCCTCTGCCTCATGGAACAAGGATTGATGCAAAGACTGAAACAGCTTGACCGAGATCACACAGAAGCTTTACCTGCTACTGCATATTGACATCTGGGAAGTCATCTAATCTTGGAATTCCCATGGAACTGAGAGCAGCAATACTTTATCTCTTTCCTTGTGCTTGTGCTGCTACTTAGCTGTGTGTAACCAAGGCTCCCATGGACTCGAAGCTGGTTCTTAACACTCTCAAGATGAGCTGCTCAGTGCTGCTGCCAGGAGGCTGTGGAAGAGCTTGTGCCCAGCTGGGTGCACAGGAGATTTTGTAGGAGGATTTTCACCTTGCACTGACAAGTTCTGAACTAGAACCCTTTGTTATTAGTCCTTATCCCAGCACAATCCCAACAGCATTGTACCATATGTAGCACCAGATTCAGGAGATGTTCTTTCCCTGTGGATAGCCACAAGATGAAGGCAGTGCCACAGTCAGCACCTGGCTTAGATCTTCAGGTAAAACAAAGTTGGTTCCCAGTGACTGCCACAAGAATTCATCAAACAGGGTCTAGGTTGGGACCTGTAGTTTCTCCTTTAATCTAAATAAATATTTGTGTTTACAGAGACCTGTTTCCGAACCAAGTGTTTTGTATATTTGCTCCATAGTTTGTTAGTAACCATTTTGTATTCTCCTAGAAATAGCACAAGATTGGTCAGACTATGCCTTTTGGTGGGAGCAGAAAAAATGTTGGCTTCTGAAAACCCACTGGACACTGGATAAATACGGGGTGCAAGCAGATGCTAAGCTGATCTTTACTGCTCAGCACAAAATGCTGCGGCTTCGCTTGCCAAACATGAAGACTGTGAGACTGAAAGTCAGCTTCTCTTCCATGGTGTTCAGAGCTGTCAGTGACATCTGCAAAGTGCTCAGTAAGTAAAGATAAATCTCCTCTGGCAATTAAGCTGGAGCATTTTATTGAGTGGCCTTGTTTTGTTGTGAAGTCCTTCCTCACAAAACTGTTTAGGTCAAAGAGAAATTTGAGACAGATTTTTGGGGGTTTCAGTATGCAGTGCACGTCAATGGTTCTTAGTCTCTGTGATAACTGATGCAAGCACTGTCAGGAATGTGTCCCAGAAGTTGCAGAAGTACTGGATAGTCAAAGCTGGCAGTTTTCTAGGAATCCTTGTCCTCCTGGAGCAGGACTTGGTCCTGATTATTCTGTGCCATTGACTAAGAGTTTGAGATTATCAATGTCCTACACTAGCCTTCACCACAGGGAATTTCACTGCTGCCAACTGATTGATCACCTATTTTCAGTACCATTAATGATATCCAGCTCTGCCTGTTATATGTGTTCACTTTAGATGAACACATGCATATGTAGCATGTTTTGAATGTTCCAGACTTCTGTATGCCCAGATCTGTTCAGGTCGGGCCATACCTAACAACTCCATCCCAGCCCAGGAATGTCTCCCAGCACTGAGTCCCCCAGTCTCTGCTCTTTCCAACAATGGAGCATTTCCAAGTACAGGGTTTGGAGAATGCCAGATGTGTGCCTGTGATCAATGGGAATCAGTTGAGTCTGCACACAGTCTTCAAAATCCTTTTGGTTTAGGGTAAAATAGGAAGTAAATTCCTCATCTTAGTTTAGATCTTCAGAGCTTAGACCATTAATACACTCACCCTCAGAAGGAATTTACTGCCTCATATTGATCCACTTTCAATTTTATCTCCTAGCAGTAGATTGTGAAAAGTGTAGTAGCTTTATTATACCTAACAGCTCTGATATAATGATGCCATAATAGTCCAAATGGCATTTGGCCAAATTAAATATTCCTACATTTTCCCTCTAGACTGAGTCAGTACAGAAACATTGTAACTTTGAATGAGTGAATACTGTCAAAAATGGCTTTGCTTACCCCAGGGTAAAAGTGTTTTTCAGAAATGAAATGCCAAGTTTGAGAATGCCTGGGAATGCCTGTCTGAATTAGTAATGCATTAGAAAACAGTGAGAACTGAGACAGAATCCTGTATGAGAAATACATTGAATAATAAAAGGCATGAACCTCAATTACAGTGGTTCTTGCTTATTATGCTCATAGGTGACTGCAGAGCTGTTAGGGAGAAAGAGCTTTTTCCTGGCATTTGAAAATGCAGTTACACGTCCTACAAAAGTAGATTTCAATCCTGTCCAAACTCACTCTTATGGCCCGAAGTCTCTGGCCTTGTTATAGAATTAGTGGATTTTCCACAGCTACTACTTTCAACCTGCTAAAAATAAAATCCAGATTGCAACATGAAGCTTCCTGAAATGCTGTTAGCAACCATGGGTGCTCTTTTGGATGTAATCATCTTGCTTCACTTCCCAAACTGCCTTTGTAGATATCAGGAGGTCAGAAGAACTGTCTTTGTTGAAGCAATCAGAAGGCACGCTCAAAAAGAAAAAGAAAAAAGACAAGAACAGCAAAGAACCAGCTACAGAAGATATCTTAAACCTGAACAACTCTCCAGTGAGTTCTGGATTACCAGGTAATGAAAAATCAATATGATTTTATTGTTCTGACTGGAAGTCAAAAAGAGGAAGAAATTCTTTGTTACGCAAAGGAGGCCAATTTCATGTAGGATGGTCTTGGAGACACAGTGGGTCTAAAATCAGTGGCTTCAAGAAATCTCCAATATGTCAATATTGGACTATGTCCAATAGTATTTCCCTATTGTCTCTAGAAATGTTTTCCTTTCCATTGATATGAGAAAGGCAACACAAGAAAACAGGTTGTGGCCCTGCACACAGGATGTGCTGCTGCCCTTTGAAAAAGGGGGAGAATGCTTAAAATATTCATTAAATTTGGCAACCTGCAAAGAAAATGAGGAATAAAGGTTTGAAAGCCTGTGTTTCCTGTGTCCAACACAACTGAGATGTCAGAGAGCAAAAAGAGCATTTCTGTCCCTGAAGTCACCTCACCTGTGAAAGGACAAGGCCAGCTGGAGACAGCAGAGATAGGAGACTGTCTTGAAAGAAAAGGGTTTGGGTTTTAGGATGGAAAGTGGTGGACAGGACCATTTTTCATGGGAATAACGTTATGCTCTTAACTTGCAGGCAATGCAGGTTTATACAGTAAAACCATGACACCTGTTTATGATCCTGTCAGTGGGTCACCAGCTTCTTCCACAATTACTTGGTTCAGTGATGGTTCCTCGACTGAGCAGAACTGCAGCATCCTGGCCCTCAGTCATTCCACCTGTTCTCCTGAGATGCTGGCAGAGATGTACCAGCCACGGACTTTGGCTGACAAAGCCAAACTCAATGCAGGGTAAGGTGCCTCTCCTGAGATCCTTTGGGTTTAAAATGAGGAATTGTGCATTGTGCAGGCTCTGGGCTAAAGTCTGTTGTTAGTTGAAGGCAAATTCAGTTGAGCACGGTGGGCACAGATAAAGGACAGTTTGGATGGCAAACTCCAAAGGCTTTAAGTAAACAGTGGAAAGAGACGTGGATAAGTTCAATAATTTTGCATTAAAAATAGGTGACTGAGTTCTGCACAAGTAAACATTGCTTATTGTATATACACAGAAAATTGAAGTTGGAAGTCTCTATGAATGCTCCACCTCCTTGAGTTACATGAATTTTCCCTAGATTTAGAGGAATTCGAGCTGTTTGTTCCCACTTTTGTTTCACAATTGCACTGGAGCTCTGCAGGTGTGATGGTTTTTCTTGTACAGATGAAGCTGTGGGTTGTTTTCTTCCACAGCTGGCTGGATTCCTCTCGATCACTTATGGAACAAGGTGTTGTGGAGGAAGATCTGCTTCTTCTACGCTTTAAATATTACACTTTCTTTGATTTGAATCCAAAAGTAAGAGCCTTGTTTTTATTGCTATTCATTGTTTGCCTGCTTTCATGTCAAGGAGCTTTACAGTAATATAGAATATATGTAGCTCTATGTGGAATTTTATCTTCAGAGAGATAAAATTCAGCTTCTTCCCCTCAGCTACAGCTGCACTTTTACCCTCTGGACACTGAATCACTGCTCCTCATGTGAAATGAGATCTTAAATTTAAAGATGGGATCTGAAGAGCACCAGAAACAGTATCCCTATTGCCAGAGGGGCTGGTTTACTTTCTGTGTCTCTTTTAACAGGAAAAATTAAGGGGAAAACTAGACTAGCAGTATCCTAAATGATGTATGGAGACCTGTTTTTGAAATTTGGCTTAAAATTACATTTATATTGCACTGCCCTCATTGAATTTCAGTTTTTCTGGACTGAAGCCGTCAGAAGAAATCAGGGCACTTTCCAGTTTATCTGGCATAGTGTTGGGTGAAATGGCACCCCACTAAAATCCAAGTACATGTCTCTACTTCAGCAGCCCAAACATTTCCCTTCTCTGCTCCAGCCAGCCTTGGACCCATGGGATGAAACCATCCAAAAGAGCTTCAGGCAGCCTAATATCTCACCTCTGCTGGGAGAGGTGATGCCCCGAGGTTTACCCTCCCATCACCTACATTTCACCAGCGCTGGGGCTTGAACATTTCTGTGAGACACTTCAGCTTATTAACCAAGTCGATAATAAGGAATAATCACTATCCAAAAAACAGATAGTGAATTAAAGCAGATCTGGCAAATCTCAAGCCAGTGCAAAGACAGAAGCAGAAGTGAAAAAGCCAAGAGAGGAAGAAAGGAAGTGAGGAACAAGAGACTTCTGCAGGTCACATTCGAGTCAGCCATGTCACATGATTTTCTCCCAGTGTGGTTTCACATCTTGGTTACTCCAGTCCAAGGCTCCTGCCTCAAAAGGGGACACTGAGCCTCACCTTCTGCTTCAGCCAGGGCTCCTGGTTGGTTTTCTGTTGGCTCAGCAAGCCGTGGGCCCATGCACACAATCACAGAGCTGGTACAAGACAAGCAGGGTGTTTGGAGCACGGCAGAGGTGGGAGGAGGAAGGAAACGAGCGCTGCGGTTCAGCGCAGCGTTGGATGAGCTGCAGCTGATGGTGAGGCTGTGCCTTGGGGGTCGCTAACGAGCAGTGCTGTGTTCCCTGCAGTACGATGCAGTGAGAATCAACCAAATCTATGAACAAGCCCGCTGGGCCATCCTGCTGGAGGAGATCGATTGCACAGAGGAGGAAATGCTCATCTTCGCTGCGCTACAGGCACGTACTTGAGCCAAGTTGCAAAACCTGTTCCCTCAAGAGGCAGGCACGGGTTAGGACAAGACTAGGACAGAGCCCAGGCCAGGAGCTCTGCTCGGGTTGGGGGTCGCTCTTGGGGTGAGAAACAATCGGCAGCATCCATCAGCTCAAGCAGCTAAACTCAGTAGCAGCACTAACACCATTATTCACACAATTATGGAAGCATTTACTAACAGTATCTGCACCTAGAATGTAACTTGGATGTCAGTATTTGTATGAAGAGTTGCTTCCCATATCAGCTACCATCCCTTCACCTTTTCTTCCTGAAAATTCCTGTAATACACCATGTGTACACCATGTGAACATTTCCCAACAGACAGGAAAAAAGCCACAGCACAATGTGAAGATAGGGACACTATGGAGTGCTTGGAAATTTAACAGCTGGGCATGACTTAGTCTCTGACCATAGGTAATAAAGCACAAACCTTCATTAATAATAAATTTCTTCCTTTTAAATTAAATTGAGCTGCCAGTATTTCACAGCCTGTCACTGCAGAACACCAGAGAACCTTGCTTCCAAGTTTCCACCTTGTATGGATGGCAGGACTAGGATCCAAATGTAGCACCAAGTCAGCCTCCCAGAACAGGGAAAGTTATTCAGCAAAGGAATACAAACACTGATAATTAAAGTAGGAAACCATTATCAGCCATTGCACAGGAGTCACACTGGACATGGCTGTTTCCTTGGGAAAACCCCTGATTCCTGCACAACTTCACACAGTTGTCCAAGCCCCAGGACACCAAATGATCTATTTTCAAACACTGTGATTGTGTGTTGATGATTGATGTACTGACTATTGGATCCTGATGTTTTATTTTAGTACCATGTAAGCAAGTTATCATTATCATCAGAGACACAGGATTCCATCTGTGAATCAGAAGTAGATGAAGTAGAAGCTGCCCTTTCCAATCTGGAAGTGACACTGGAAGGTGGAAACAAAAGTAACATTTTGGTAGGTCCTTTGGGATCCCAGAATTTCTTTTGCTGTGCCAAATCTGTTGACTCTCATGAACCTTTCTGGTTCTTGATTTTTTTTAACAGTTGACTACAGAGTGCATTGTACTAAAATTATTCCTAATTATTCCTGACAGGAGGACATCACAGATATCCCAAAACTTGCTGATAATCTCAAGCTAGTTAGGTGAGTTGTTAAAATTAATAATAAAACATGCAAAACCAGAAGTTTAATCTTACAAGAGATCTCTTGGGTTTTTCATTCTAATCTAACAGTACATCTGACAGTTATAAATTGACAAATACCCCAGATAGGTCTAACCAGTCTAATATTCTCTTCCAGTCTTTCTCTTCCTGCTTCTGACAATGTTCCTTGGCAAATCTTTCCCACTCCTGGCATGCTGGGTAGCTGTATTTGTACTTATTAAAGACCCTGCTGTCTGTATTTCCTAGTGCTCATCAGTCATCATCTCTAAACAAAAGAACCTTCTTTTTTTGCCAGTAAAAAAAAAAAAAATGAAGAAATTTGCAGTTTTCCCTGAGAAGAATTTCTGAAAGTAACCCCAGGGAATGTATTTTTTTAAAAAAAGAAACATCCAAATTACCCTTTCTTACCAAACATGGAGGCTGTTTTTTCTAATAGCAAAATGAGTTTCTGTGATCCCATTATAATATCTTGTTTTATGGGTGATTTAAATGACTGTAGAGACCTCAAGTCTGTAATGCCTTTTATCACAAAACAGTCTTTGTGTTTTAGAAAGATAAAGTGTTCTGTTGTACAAGTATTTATCAGATTCATCCGTTGACAGATGGTATTTTTAATCTGGGAACTGAAAACTGCACCTGAAAAAATTTTAACTGTTGTTAACTGCTAACAATTGTTAATTATTAATTTCCAATTTGGAATTTTATTTGACATTCTTATTATGAAGGTGGCTTGAGGTGAAAGGGAATTAAGGCTTTTAACAATGGGTTATTTGTTTTTCCCCAGCAGTAGAGCAGTTTGTTTTTATAAGCACTCAGCAGTTATTTTTCATCATGAAAAAGCTCCTATACAAATGATAAATCCCTTACCAAACCTAAGGCATTGTAGAACCCATTGTAAGTAGGGTGTAAAACTTTTCTTTAAACAGCAACACTTTGTGGCTGTAATTATTTGATTAATTGTAGACCTGTATGCAAAGCTGTACATGCCCTACTGTTTACTGTTCCTATGGTGAACTTTTATTCCTATTTATTCACAGTATGCACCACAGTAAATGCTGCTTTCACGTGGGGACATGAATTGTGGAGAATTGCAACATTTTTTTCAAAAACAACAAGAAGAAGCTTTCTAAAAAATTTGCAGCAACATTTTCAGGGATAGAAAAGTAATTTTATCTGTCTAAAAAAAATATAGTCCCTTATTTTTGAAGAATATCACTGTACTGGAAAATTAAAAGCCAAATTATTTGGTAGTTTTGAAAATCCGAGGTTTTTTAGTTTAAACATCAAAATTGCCATTTTCTAGAAAGGATTCTAAACTAAGATTTTTAGAAAGGGTCTGGAGGTATCTATAACAAGAGTATATATATATATTACATCACTGCTTTCCAGCTAGTTCTATACTCTTTGTACCATCCTCTTAGATTTAAGGGGAAATACGGGATTTTCTTTTTCTTTTTTCTTCTTTTTCCCTTCATTGATGGCTTTTGTCACTAGCTGTGAAGTATTTCTCTACTCAAATAGTGCAAATACCTCTGGTTTTCTCTCCTGGAGGGCTACAAAGCTTCTATAAACTTAGTGAAGGAATAGAATTTTGTTGTTTTGGATATTATTCAGCTTAAGCCAAAAAAAGCTGGTTTCTGCTTCTTTACAATGAATACGAGTTGGTTTTATGGGTGCAGATATTCAAGGTAAGGAGCTATGAAAAAGTGATGGCAATTTATTTTAATAAATCAGAGGTTACATTTGTGTTACTGAGTTGATGGGGAAAATTAATCTGTTAGAATGGAATGGCTTTGCTTAGTAATGGAATAAATAGATGAGAAAAATCATAGATGGGATTCAGCTAAAATCTGGAGTAAAAACCATGTCCATACCTGGGATAACCTAGATTGGATCCAGGCATTTCCCAGCCCCTCCCTGACACAGAAATGTCATTTCCAACCAAAGCCTGACTCTGAATTTCAGAGGCTCTGTAATATTTGTGAGGGACTCAGCAATTTGTATATGTTGATATAAACAAATGGGATTTCTTTTTTCTGGTAGGCCCAAGAAGCTGGCACTCAAAGCTATCAAGACATACTGGTTTGTCTTCAGAGACACTTCAATATCTTATTTTAAAAACAAGGAATCTGCACAGGGAGAACCTGTTGAGAAACTAAACCTAAAAGGTAAGAATTCTCCTTCCTTTGTTTTTTTTTCTGTTGCATCTGTGAACTGAATAAAATAAGAAATTTCTGACAGACTCAGGAAGGCAAGCACAGCAGCATTTAGTCTGGGAGCTTTTTCAGTTCCTGAGATTGCACCTGCAGAAAAGGCCTAAACAGAAAGGATTCAATAGTTTAACCTGAGCTGGGGTTATCAGAGCCTAATTTGTAAAATCCCCTGTACTGCTGAATTCTTCAAGATGAGTCAGGTAGGGAATGTGACTTGTGGGATGCTTTACATCCAAATACTTTCACTCTCCATTAAATGGGAGTGTTTCTCCTGTGTCCTTGGCAGCAGAGGATTAGGGATGATGCCATGGGCAGGAATGCCAGAGGCTGTCCCTGCATTCTGCTGTGCAGGGACAGCTCCAGGACCTTCTCTGGGCCTTGTTTGTGTCGTGCATGGGGATTCCCATGTCACAGCCAGCTGCTGGAGGAGGAGCCCCGGGTGTGCACACAGACACCAGCACCCTGGATAGCCTCCATCTACATCTGCTCCTGCAGGGACATCCTTTGTTCAGCATCAGGGAACCAGTGATGCCCACGACTCATCCTAGAAGAAACCTTTGAAATAGAAGATTGACCCTGCATCCCAATCTGCATATCCTCAGTAGGTCAGAGAATGCATGGGAAAAACAGCCAGGGTGGCTGGAACCTCCCCAAGGAGCCTCTCCCACCAGTTCCTCTCCATTTGAAGTGCTGAGCATTTCCTAAGATCAGGCTGAGGTTTTGGGAGCACTCATATCCTTTCACTTCCACGTGTACTCATGTGCTCCCTGAGCTCAGAGCATTCATCACGCTGGCAAGCCAGACCAGGCAGTGAACTGGAACAAAACCCTTTCATTAGGGCCTAAGTTTCAAAAGTCTTGGCCCTTAGTCTCAAAGAAAAACAACTACAAAGTACTGGTCCTTAGTGTTAAAGCAGTAATTAAAGTTACTGATGTAGTAATGAAATAAATTAATTTTCTTCTGATTCTCTGTCATCTAGGATGTGAAGTTGTACCAGATGTAAATGTTGCAGCGAAGAAGTTTGGAATCAAATTACTAATTCCTGTTGCAGATGGCATGAATGAAGTATATTTAAGATGTGATAATGTGAGTAATAAGAAATGAGACAATTTGGATTCAAGATTTATGGCAGATTGTCCTGTTCTAGAATTTGTATAGAAAAATGAGGATGCTGCAGAGAGTTTATTATGTAAATCTTTAGAAAATTTAAGAACGCTGTGGTAGCCTAACAAATACATAATTGTTCTGAGGACATAAGGACAGTAAAGAATCTTGTGTTTATCATCAATTGCCAAATAAAGCTGGGAGGAAAAAAGCCAGAAAGAACAAACTATAAAAAAAATAAGTTAGAGAATTGAGGTTTGGATTTTGTTTTCTTTTTTCCTAATTAGAACTCTCCCCATTCAGATGAGGAGAGTGTGATAAGGATCTTACATTAGTTTTCAGTTTATTGAAATGTATCAGATCAAATTGTGTAAAAAGCATTCAGTAGGTGAAAACCAGTCATGCAATAAATCTTCCAAGAGAATCTATTTCAAGGTACTTGATTTTTTAGAAAATTGAAAACCTAGGTGTAGTTGGAGCTAGTCCAATCGGGAAGGAAGAGCAGTAACAAACCATTGTCTTTGTTTCAGGAGGATCAGTACGCTCGGTGGATGGCTGCTTGTGTTTTAGCCTCCAAAGGCAAAACAATGGCTGACAGCTCCTACCAGCAGGAGGTCCAAAAGATCCTTTCATTCCTCCAGATGAAAAACTGGACCACGAGTTCCCAGGCTGCCTCTGAGCCAGAGAATGTAGATATGAAACCTGAATGCTTCGTCTCACCACGCTATACCAAAAAATTCAAGTCCAAGCAGGTATCCTGAGTATGGCTCGATGGCTGGGTGTGGTTGGGCTCCCATTCCAGTGGTTGCTTAGGGATGAGGCTGGATCAAAGCAGCATTTGGAAGCCATGCAATACAACACCCTGCAATAGTTGTTTGTCCCTTTGCAAGAGGCCTTTTCTTCAAACTGAACACAGGGACAGGTGTTTTGGCACCTCCTCCAGGTACCTCTCCTACATCCATACCCTGGCTTAAGTCACCCATGATGTTCTGCTCCTGATAACACTGTTCCTGAAAGTCTCTTCAGAGTAGCAAAGGAAGGATTTTAAGGACTGCAAGTAACTGTTTGCATCTGAATCAACAGGGTCTTCTTGCCCTTCAAGTCTTTCCTTCCTCTCCATCTAATTCCCTGTCCTGCTTTTGCTGTGCAAGAGCTCGGCCTGCCCATGCTGAAAAGGGTCCCCATACAGAGCAGTATGGAGCCAGGGCAGTGCTGCACAGACCCAGACCCGAGATGTCCATTCTGCCCTTTGCACTTGGGATGTGTCCTCAAGTGCCCTCTGTGCTGCATCTGCACAGTGACAACAAAGTGTCTGAACACAGCATCACACCTCATGATTTCTGATTTAGTGAAAGCAACAGGATTTTTGTTCTCCAGTCAGCTGAAAACTTTCTCTCTTCCTGTGTTTCCCAGCTGACTGCCCGTATTCTGGAAGCCCACCAAAATGTATCCCAGATGTCCCTGGTGGAGGCCAAGCTGCGTTTTATCCAAGCCTGGCAGTCCCTCCCTGAGTTTGGTTTATCCTACTACATTGTAAGGTAATTGCACTCTCACTCCTGTGAAGCTGCCATAAGGTGTTCATGCTGAATGATTTGCAGGAAGTTCTTTGACACCCTGTTCCAACAACATTTTCTATTCTTTTCCCCCACAGACTTCTTTTAATTTTGCTGATTTCCATACTGCTGGTTTTTTCTGTAGGAGTAGCACCCAGTAGCTCCATTCCTGGAGTGAGACTCTGCATTACATGTGCCTTGGTACAGACCTCTTGGATTTAGCCTGAAGTAACCTCTCACCAGCATTAAACCCTTACTGTCATAAACTCTCCAAAATGTATAAAATGCATGTCTCATTGATGTGCTCAGGTTTGCAGGATATGTTCACTCTGACTTTTGTTCATTGCAATATGATAAAATGGTAATTTATTCTATATTTCATTAAGAAAACAGCAAATTATCCATTTTAGGGTTAATCCAGGAGAGCAGTGAGCACAAGAAAGGTCCCATTGTGTTCACAGCAGCTTCCTTGGACACAGCAGCGTTTGACCTGCAGCCTTTTCTCTTGACAAAAAAACCAAAAGCTGAAAAGTACTGACACAACCATACTTGGAGGCACCTTCCTTAATTTGTGTTTAACACCCCTCCCAGAGCTAGGAACCATCTGTGGTATAAATTGAAGCAGCTGGGAACCACGCTGTGGCACGGAGGCCAGCTGTTGTGGAACAGCCCACATCTGACTTCCCAAAGTCCAGTGGCCTCATGTGAGCTGTGACATCATCTTGGTCCTTGGATGTTCCAGGTTCCAAACTGTACCTGGGAGACACTTGAGAGAGCACTGCTTGTTTGGAGCCAGAATTATCCCTGAATTCTGTGCCCAAAAATGCTCCCCGATCCTGTTGAATTTATTAACGCAGGTACAGATTTTTTTGCCCCATCTGTCACCATTAATCCTGTTAAAAACACAAACCAACCCAACACCTAAACTGTATTTTGTAGTGGTGAATTGCTACAAACTGCTGGGCAGTATCTCAGTGGGGCATTAAGCAAAGTACAAATTGTGTCCAGGTCACATTTTTCTCTAAGGTCCAGCTGCATCTAAAGAGAGGAAGGTTCACAAACAGGATCAGAAGTACTGATAATACTCACAGCAGGCAGATGAGATTTCTTCCAGCTTTCAGCATGAAGGTTGTTTCTTTACCTGAGAAATCTGTTCCTAGCTATTCCCAACTCAAAAAATGCTGTCCCCCAAAGATTCTGATGCTTTTGTATTTATTTTTCATCTCTAATCAGAAGAAAGTTGAAATGTTAAAATGCCTCAGGAATTTTGTAATGGGATTGATACTCAAAAACATGTATATATCAGTTGTTTAGATTATATAATTTAGGTTAATATAGGTTAATATAACTAGAGAGGAACATGTTTCAACATTAGAGAAATGAAGCAACAAAAATTATTGTTGACATTTTTTCCAGTAAAAACATAATCAGGTTCATGCATTTGGAAAGAACAGTTTTTTAGCAGGAAACAATGAATTGGAAAGATTTCAGCCAGACCTACCTTCCTGGTTATTTTCCATCTTACACCATGGCTCACCAGCCTACACTTCTGCTTTATAACAAATCCTGTTCTAAAGATGGGTCCAAGCTCTCCTCTATCTCAGGCTCTTGTGACTTTTCCCACGTTTTTTGCACTTCCAGAGGAGAGCAGCTGAAATGTTTCTCTAGACAGAAATCATTGCAAAGCACATCTGCTCAAAGGTTCTGGGGGTTTTTTTCAGATTTAAAGGAAGCAAGAAGGATGATGTGCTTGGGGTGTCCTATAACAGGCTGATACGGATAGATATGGCCACAGGAGATCCTATCACAACGTGGAGGTTCTCCAACATGAAGCAGTGGAATGTGAACTGGGAAATCCGCCAGGTAAAGCTGCAACAGCTCCGTGTTCAGTCCTTGCATTTCACACACTCGAGGATGTTTTCAGAAAACATTTTCAAACCTCACTGAAAAGATTTTGAACGTGTTGTGACATGTTGTTAAATAAGCTGTCTGCAGTTTTTCTTAGTGGAGTCTGTAGTCAAAAATCAGAAACTGAAAGATTGCCTGTTTTAAAGGTTCCTACCAAGCTTACTCTTTACAAGTTGCCCTTGATTTTGATGGGATGAAATAGAGACTCCAAAGTGAATTCCAACGTGTTGTGTTTACTGCTCTGTCAGTAAAAATCTCATTTGAACTCTCATGCATCATCCTCTACATTGTGGTAGTTCAGTCTCTATGACAGACTGAGGATACAGGACCCCAGTTTGTCTTTCCAATCCCAAACTGAGATTGCAGCTCTTTGTCAATGTGTGGTCCCTGCTTTGGGGTTTGAAAGCTTGAAGCCAGCTCTATAAATTGTAGATTTCTGGGGTGGAACTACTGTGACCTGATGTAAATTGAAGCAGCCTGGGAACTGCTCCTGCTTATGGAGTTTTCCACATCCATCTGCCAGATCCAGGAGAGATCAGATACATTCCCTACTGCTCTCCTGCACTACTCCCTGTGCCAGAGCCTGTAATTCTGGGTCAGGTTGCTGGGTTTACATTAAATCCCTCTCAAAAAAGGCACAATCCACAGTAACCAACCAAGCTCAGTTTGCTGCATTTTAGAACTAATGGTAGCTGGAAGCCAAAACCAGGACCCCAAAGGCAGATTTATGGTCAGCACGTAATAATGGACAGATTAAACATTATTCATTAGACAAAGAGTCAGAAATGCCATTCCTTTTCTTCCCAGTGTTCACTTTATATGCCATTGGAAAAAAGCTAAAAGATTTTGTTGTGTGCTTGAACAAGCAAAAAGATTTCACCACAAGGGGGCCCTGATGTAGCAGCAAATCCAAAACCAAGCAGCCAAAAACACCCTGAGCATCCGGCAGACCCAGAACTCTTGGTCAGAGGCAGGAAGTGCTTTTATCACAGTATTTGTGATCCAGCTGCCCTCTCACTTCTCTTTCTTCCCAGCTTATCTCTGTCTGATTTTGCCACATCTGTTCTCCGTAGGTTGCCATCGAGTTTGACCAGAATGTGTCCATTGCTTTCACGTGCCTGAGTGCAGACTGCAAAATCATCCATGAGTATATTGGGGGCTACATCTTCTTGTCAACACGTTCCAAGGACCACAATGAAACACTGGATGAAGAACTCTTCCACAAATTAACTGGAGGTCAGGAATGAGATGAAGTAAACTCTCTTCCCACTGCCTGCTTCTTCTTATAGCTAAGACTACCAGAGATGAAACAAAAATATCTCTGATTGTTAATTGCTGGCTACTAATTATTGTAAGTGTCTTGTACTATGACTGGGACTGTTGACAGTTTTTGTTAAATACTGAAGCTGAGGTCACTGGATGCAGTATGGCAACTCCATCATCAGTACTTGAGAAAATTGAATTGACTGTTTTTCTTTTGTACAGCTCAATGTTTTTAAATAAACAGTGTCTAGCCACTGGACAAGTTTTTTTTTAATCTAGCATTTTTAATTGCAGCAATCTGTTTAAGCATTCAGAGCAAGTAGCTTGAGGATATGGTACAGTGAATTTTCTTCTCTGTTACAGCCAGGCAACTTCCATTGTTAAACTGGCCATTGTTAAAGAGCCCAGCATTTATCAGAACTAAAGCTGAATAAATACATATTTTAAAGCTCCATAGCTTGTCTAACACTTGCCCTGAGAACACAAAACATTCCAAAGTCCTGAAGACTAAGCTATTGAAACTCCTGTAGGAGTTACTCAGTTGCTCAAAAATGTAGTACCCATGTCCACCTTCATCCACTGAAGTGGTTTCCTAAAGCCAGAGAAGCTGCAGAGCTTCTCTGCAAGCTTGCATCTTGGCAAAACTGGATGCAAAAGGTTCATCTTTTGAGAAATACTGTTACCTGGTTGAAAAATGTGCTTTAGGAACTATCTAAAGCTATTAAAGAGGCCTTTGAGTGTATTTCTATTTGTGTCCCTGTTACTCTGTTTTACTATGACATCTCACTGAACTAAGCTGTTCATGTGAGGATCTGAAAAGCCTACAGAAATGATCTAATGTGTGTAATGCAGAATGCAAAGAGAGATGCTCAGGGGGCCAGAGCCCCTCTGCTCTAGGAGACAGGCTGAGAGAGATGGGGGTGTTCAGCCTGGAGAGACCATGGAAGTGCTAAGAGAGAGCTGGACAGGGACTTTTGCCATGGGCACACAGTGATAGGACAAGGGGGAATGGCTTCCTGCTGACAGGGCAGGGCTGGATCGATACTGGGGAGAAATTCTTCCCTGTGAGGGTGGTAAGGCCCTGGCACAGGTTGTCAGAGGAGCTGTGGATGTCTCTGAGGAACCACATCTGAAGCCAGCAGCTCTGCCTGCTGGAAGGAGCCACACACATCCACCGAAGTGAATGAAATTTGATACTACCCTGTAAAGCAAGGACGGAGTGAAGCTGGGAGAACTCATGGAACTACTGGACAAACCAAAACTGGTTTCACATATCTAAATAAATACAATGGATAGGTGTTGTCATATCATAAAGGGATGCTGCAGAAATCACTGCATAAATTCATAAACATCAATGGAAACTGAGAGCCCTGATTTTCATGCCATGTGCTCTGCTTTTCCCCAGCCCTTGTCAATGGGCTTCAGTGGAATCACTCCCAGTTTGTGCAGTTTAAACTACAGCTTTACATTTTGCAAAAAGAAAAAAATACAGCCTGCTTCCCAGCCCTCTGTTCTTCCCTCTCCTCAGTACTTCTTGCAGAGGCTGAGGAACCATCCAGTTTTCCTTCAGAAGAGAACTTACTCATTGGCCAAGTGCTTGACACAAGCCAAGTATTTTCCTCACGTTGTGAGATCCACCCAAGTCCAAACGCTGGCCATATTTAAAGCCTGCCTAAGGGTGCCATGGGAGAGCTAAATGTTTCTATTAGTACCAGCACCTCTTCCCCAGACAGCTGCCTTCCAAATCAGTCTTCACTTAGGCTTTGCAGTGAGGACCCTGACCATGCCTGCATGGAGCCCCTCATGTGGCAGTGAGCAATGCCAGGCTGCTGTGGATGCTCCCCGGGAAGCACAGCCCATGCTTGCCACTCTCAGAGCAGTTTGTCCCAGAGTGCTGCATGGAGGCCCTGTAGTTGCCACTTGCCTACGTGACCTGAGCACAGGAATGCAGAGACAGGGCAATCTGAGCATAGCTCTCATAGCAGTGTGTGGCTCATTTCGTTGCTAAACAAGCACGTTCACTCGCTGTTCCAGCTGTCTGTACCAGGATTTCAGAGAAACGAACAAATATTTCCATTTTCTTTCCTGCCCCTCCTTCAATCTTACCCCATGTGTCACTGCTTTTCGACTAAATCCTTCACTGCTGCTTTGCAAGGAGGAATTCTGCCAGCTCATCCTGGCTGGCTGTAAGCCCTCTCCTTTGCCATTTTCGGTTTAAGGGAGTGATCCCCTGCTGATGCCCTCTCTCTGTATTTCCTTAGGTCATTCAGCTGTCTCTTCTCCTTGCCCCACTCACTTTGCAAGGCTTTTCCACAATAGGTAAGGGATAGGTAGGAAAGCAAACTGCTTTCATCCAGCTGCTTTGAGTGCTGCATGTGACTGTAGCTCCTCTTACTACAAGCAGAAGAGAGGTTTCAATGGGAAGGCTCCATGCTAGAGAGGTTAGAGTGGGAAGGCCTGACCCCAGGCATTCCTGCACTTCCACAATTCCAGGCTGGATATGGTGGGCAGCACCTGAGAGGAGGCCTGCCCCAGCCTGCTCTGCCTGACACCTGCACCAGCCACAGCTTCAAGGCATTTTTCATCCCACCCCATGTCACCGAGCACGTCCCAGCCACGCTCTGGACAGTCCCTTAATGCATGTGGGGTTCCACATCCTCCCTTTTTGTGCAATAATGAGCTCATCACACCTCTTTATACACAGGGTTAAAGACCACGGGCTCAGTGGGCTGTAGAAACGTAATTAATTGCATAGTGCCAGATGTGGGAGAGGTTTCCCAGAATGAATGAAAGCAGGACAGGGGCGTCTGCCCTGAAGTTTTGCAATACAGAGATGATATCCTGGACAGGAATGTTTTTAGATGAAAACAAACATTTAGGAAACTTACACCTCAGTCCAGCTGCAACCCTATTCTGTACACGATGCTTAATTAAACCCAAGCCAGGTCAGGGTAAAGCACTGCCGATGTCAGATGGATCCTGCTGCTCTTACATCAAATTCCGTAGAAGATTTCACCACTGCCTTCAGCCTGCATTAGGTGACACACACCCCATCGTTTTCTGAAACCTCAGGCTAAATAATCCTTTCCTTCCATTCTCTCCCCTTTTTCTGTAGGAAAATGTCCTGCTTGTGCTTGCTCTGTGGACAGACCCGTGAAACGGTTCTTTTGTTGGCTTTAAGAGCCATTCTCCAGATTTTTTTCAGGATATTTTCATCCTTAACCATCACTTGGATTACGGCCAGTAAGAAACATTCACCTCTTAAACTTTACAGCCTGGTACCATGCTCACCTTCTCCTGCTCGCCCCAGCTCTGCTTATCTTGGTGTCACTAAGGAATGCAGGGCTCAGCCCGAGAATTCCTGCGGGCAGAGGGGCTTTGTGCAGCCCTGAATCGCCCCCGGGGAGGGGGCGCCTGCTTCAGCTCTCTTTGCATCACCCGTGTGAAAAGGCTGACAGAAACGCCTGCCTTTGCTAACCGCTCCCTCAGGTTGTCACTGAAACTCTCAGAAAAGCGGAAAAAAGAATAAAAGGCGACGTGAGAACAGGCCAAAGTGAGTCACAAAGGGGAAATCTCTGCCTGCTGTTAGCAGATATTTCAAAGAAACTTGTGAACGAGGGCTGCTGCCTGCCCTGGGAAACCTCCGGCAGTACCTGGGCAGCTGCCTGAGATGTGGCACCATAGCAGAAATATTTCAGATGATGAGAGTTTGCGGCTAAGCAAAGAGCTGGGAAGATACAATACCTGCTACCAAAACTGGCCATCTAAAAAAGCAGAAACAAAGATGGAAAATAAAAATTAACGAAAGCTCATTTCCCAGAGGTGCTCTGCCTCTTGCACCAGGTTCTCTGTATCACTCAGAAATCAAGGGCCTCTGGGCAAACAAAATTTCCACCTCCCTTCCACCTTCACCAAAACGAGCTTCCCCAGTCTGACAGTCTGCTCGGCTTAGTCTCCAAAATGAAGTCAGTAAGGATGAACTCATTAAAATTAAGGCAGCTTTTGGCTCACCGAGTTTCCTGGAGTATTTTTGTAAGACATTAAAATCAAGAAGACAACCAATAACCCTAAAATAAGCAATGAAAATTCACTGTCCGTAAATACCGAGCTAAGGGCAGCAAACACAAGCATTTAATAGCCCAGGGCAAAGCCAGGCCACCTCCCTGCTCCTCGGCTTCCCAAAGAGGAGCGCAGCCAGCAGCTCTGCGAAGCCAGAGGGAAGGCAGGCCTGTCTGGAGCTGGACTTTCCTTCTCTTATGGCAAATTCTTCAGATTTTTGTAACCTGCTCCACTTTGCCCTTTGAACCGCAGCGAGCGCAGAGCTCTGGAGGTACCTGCGGGTGCGCACGTGCCGGGCCCGGCTGCCCCGCCCCTCCAGGGTCAATGGTGGGATTAGCCCCTCATTTAGGAAACCATTCGTCTTGCCCTAGAGCCATTCCCCAGGGGAACAACATGTGCACCTCGCCCGGCCTCCAAGGGAACCGCAATGGCTCCAGAGAGTCCTTCTGGAAGCCCCTATCTCTGCTCCGTGGATGTTCTGGGGTTTTTCAAGGCTCTCTCCCCACGCACATCATGACCCACACGGTCAGTAGATAAGGTCTGCATAATGTGTACTTGCAGACTCAAGGTTTTTGGGCAAGCCAGACCTTTATCTGCACTTTAGCACCGAAGTTTACAGGTCGCTGCTGCCTTCATGCCAGGGATCTGTTTTGTTGCCCCGATAAAGGAAAAGCACTGACTCCTCGGAAATTTTAACAATTACTTGTCCTACAGTAGCAACAGAACAACCACATTTTTGCTTTTATTTTGGAGCCATCTCCATCAACTCATCCCTTTCTGGGATCGTTTCCCTGACTTTATTCTCTGCTCTCGACCTAATTATTGTTTGAATTGTGGGAATGCTGAAAAACCCAGCTCAGGGCAGGTCCCACAGTGGGAGATGGTTTATGTTGTCAGTTTTACTTATCCAGCAAAGGATGAGAGAAGTAGCAGGAGGGGAATTCTCCCAAGCCATGTGGTACACAGATGCAGAACGCAGAACACAACCCACGCACAGCGGGACCAGAAGAGGCCTCCCGAGGCCGTCACACAGGGAGTGACATGCCCCACGCCCTCTCCATCGGCAGAGAGAATTCCTCTCTGCGGGAGGAGCAGGTGAGAGTTTCACTTTTGACATATCCTAAGGGCCTCCTTGGAAAAGTAATTTGTCCTGCGTGAACTTTTGCAGGATTTACTCCCCAAGAGCAAGAGCCTTAGAGAGAAATTTAAACACTTGAAGCCCCTCATTGGCGCCTAAAGAGAGACCAAAGCTCATGTCAGCAAGCAGAGCCTCAGCTTTACATCATCCTGACCTGCCAACAAAGGAACACAACAATTCCTCTCCCTCCCCCCGCCGCTGGAAGACGTGAGAGTTGGGACTATTGACACTGATCTTTTCCCTTTACCCCCCTCTGCTTAGACAAAGACGGACAGGAGCAGCCCTGCCTGAGTGTTGGGAAATAAGAGCCCTCCCACCCACCTCCTGCTAGGGCCAAGGCAGCGGGGAAAGCTGCCCGGAGCCGCCCCCTCTCAAAGCTGGGAGCGGGGGAGCGAGGCTGGAACAGACCTCGCTCGAGCTTGTGGGCAGAGCCGGGAGCAGGGAAAGCTGGGAACAGAAGAGAGGCATTTCACGCTGTCGGCTGAGTCACCCCGAGCGTATAAAATCAAGGCCAGGCAGTCGGAGGCGCTCCGAGCGGAGGCACGAGGCACCGGCACTTTTGGACAGGTACGTGCAAGCGGATGCGGTTTAGAGGTAAAGATTGAGATTAAATCTAAGATTGGAATACAGCACCCAATTCCTCCCATCCACTCCCTGCCAGTGTGCTGCGGAGCAGGGGATCCAGCGGCTCCGGTCACCGGGAAGCCCTGAGGCTTCTTGGCTCTCGCTCGGTTCCAGCTGACCAAAAGGACACAGGCAAACGCAACACATAATTTTGGTGTATCCTATTTTGCTGGTCCCCACTTCAAACCTGGGATGGCAGCAAAGGATAACAGTCTGGGCAAGACCTGGCATCATTCAGGGAACAGCGAGGAGTAATTAAACTTTGGAATAAGTCTGAGATATTTCATAACTCGTAAGTTTCGGTTACCACCCTACACTGTAATATATTTCTAGATAAGCAATGATCATTTTGATGTCGGGAAGCTCAAAAGACAGCTCAATAAGAAAAGCACGAGTTTGGGGTTAACTCCTTCCTCTGACACAGAATACCTGTGGACACCTCGCACAAGTCATTAAGGACTTTTTTTTTTTTTTTTTACAAAGACCAAAGGAGGGGTGGGCGGAGGAGGGAATACAGAGGGAGCTGTAACACCAAATAAAATGCTTCTTGGCGCTCAGGCCTTTGGGGCCCTGATCCAGGAGCATACTCAGTTTCTGACCACTTCCACTGCAATGTGGTTCGGGAGCTGCATTTTCAGTGCATCCCTTCCCAGCAGCTGGGCCGTGCTCTCTCTGTGGCTCTGGTCTGCAGCAGGAGCCAGCCCTGCCGCTGCCTGGCAGACAGGCTGTGGGGCACTGCCAGCTGCTCAGCAGCCCCAAAGCGCCTGTGGGGTCCCCACTGGGACTGTCCTCAGAATGGGGAGAACTGCCCTTGCAGAGCCCACAAGTCCTTGGTTTTGCTGTTACAATTTCTGCTAAGTGCTAAGAGAAGGAAAGTCCATCCTAACATAGGAAATGCACTCTTACCTCCCCGCTCCATCACAACTCAGCCCAGTTTGGGCTCCTGTGCTTTAAGGTTTGGCAACTCTCCTCTGTCTTCAGATCCATTCATTTGCTTTGCATGGACAACCTCACAGAAAACAGTCCCTTGCCACAGGTACACTTGGTTATCAACCCCTGGAAAACTCTTCCCACTGGGCTGGCCGAACTGGACACTATGCAAGACAACTTGCTGACACTGATGCTCCTGCTGTGGGATGCAACTCAGTTCATGCTTCCTGCAGGAAAAACTGTTGGCACATAGACTAAGATTGCATGATACTTCTGTCCCTAAGGATTCACGTTTACTTAAGTTTAATTACAGAACAGCTATTAATTATCACTTATCACTGTCTGGATATAATAGGAAAGGGCTTATAAACTGTTTTGCTTTTAAATAGTTTGTAGATGCCTGGAGGGATTTTAATTTCGCTCTAAATGTTGATGTTTTGTTTTCCCCTCTCTGAAACAGAAAGGATACAGGTCCTGCAAACTGCAAGGATGATGTCACCCTTGCTCATCCTCCCTCTGCTGCTGGGGACCACAGCACATGGCCCGGTGAGCAGAGCAGCATCCAGGGATGTCACCACCTTTTTCCAGCTGGCTCAGGAAGACACTTGGGAGAACGTTAACCTCACCAGCATGTCCTGTGAGTACTGGAAGAACAGGACCTGGATCACCCTGCAGCTGACCAACAACAGCCTGACAGCTTTCCCTGTCTGCCTTCCCGAGACCCTGCAGAGCTTGGATCTCAGCAATAACCTCTTGGAAGAGGTGAATGGCACAGAGATAGCAAACCTCCCACAGCTGCGTGTCCTCTCGCTGAGGCACAACCACCTCTGGTCAGTGAGGTGGGGATCTGAAACCCTCAGCAGTCTCTCCAAGCTGGACTTGAGCTTTAATAAGCTGTCATCTGTGCCATCCTGCCATGGCTCTGCCCTACCTAACCTGAGGTGGTTGTCCTTGGCTGGAAATCCACTGATTGAAATCCAGCCACTGGCTTTTACCTGCTACCCTCAGCTGCAGCTCTTGAACCTCTCTGCAACGCTGCTCGGGCAGGATGAGAGCAGAGGAATTCAGGACTCTGCTTTTGCCATCGGCACACAACCCAGCGAGGCCATGAACAGGACTGGAAACTCCATCAGTGTGCTTGATCTGAGCGGGACCTTTTTTGAGAAAAGTAAGTTCCTGGGTTTCCCACTGTAAACACAGGGCTTGGTCAGGCCAGGGGAGCAGAAGCCTTGCTGGCTCCCATCCTCTGGGATAAGCCTGGAGTGTAGGGGAACACTGCACACTGAGACGTGCAAACAGCTGGTCCAAGCTGGACAGTGCAAGGCACTGTCACGCAAACCAGCCTCCCAAAGGAAGGGCAGAGACCAAACACCATGAGACAGGACAATTTCTCTCAGTGTAGTCACCCACCTCCATCCTAATCCCACTGTCTGCTACTGACAGTCATCCCCCTGTCAGCCCCGGGATTAGTTTTGGGAAGCACAGGAGGAAATTAGTTTCTCTTTCCAGACAGGCTGCTGAAATCTTTCTTTGTCCCCACAGCTACACTCAGCTTTTAGCTCTGCATTGAAGTAGCACAGAGAGAGGCTTTTTGTGCCATCCACAGCCAGCCTACTTCCGCTGAGGGGGGAGGCAATCCCCGCCCCGAGCAATCCACAGGAGGTTTTTTTCCCTTTTACTGGGCTCCCCTGCCAGCCTCAGTTTGTACCTCAGGTGCTGAGACACACAGATGTGAGATGCCTTGCCCAGCTGTTCTCAGCCTGGGACAGGGCCAGGGCCTTAGGGGCTCCTCATGCTAGAGGCTTCACTTCAACTCACGTTAAACAGCTGCACCACCAAATTTCCTCCATGAATTTTCCTAATCCCTCTTGTGGTAGTGAGTTACCCTATTGAGTCATGGGAAGGAAAGGCCCTTTTGTACAAGACCTATTCTTTCTGTTTCGTGTCTCTTGGCTCTTTTTCCTGTGCTAGGAGAAATAAGTGATTTGCCTTTCTTACTTACCCCAGTCGGGACCTCTTAGACCACTTTCCTGAGCAGAGAAATCCTTGTTCATTTAATCTCACCCAACAAGAAATCTGTTCCATATCTCTTATCAGTTTTGTTGTCCTTTTCCCCCTCTATTTTCCTCTGCCCTATGACAGCCTGACCTGCAGACACTCTTACAAAAATGCAGCTGCATGAGTGTTTACACTCTGGTGTATTGCCTTTTGTTCTATTCCTTTCCCAAAGAGAATAGCTGCAGAAGGTGACAGATACTTTATATCTCTGAATTCAAACCCTTTTTCTAGGCAGAAATCCACAAGAATGCTCTGTTTAGGCAACAGGTGTAAATAAATATATTTTTCTCTTTCAGTTCAACCAGAGTGGGCCAGGGACTTGGCCAACCTCAGAGTACTTCACCTGACAAACATGCCACGGTTAAGGAGCCTCGATGGTGACTTCTTCAAGTCCCTGCCTGGTCTCCAGGAGCTGCACTGTCAGGACTCCCATTCCCTGGGTTTTGTGCAGACAGAGATGTTTGACAGTGCTCCTCACCTGAGCTATCTCTCATTTGAGAAGTGAGTTGGGTTTTTTGTCCTTTCTCACATAATGCTGCCTTTGCCTCACAGCGCTGTGGTGTCTGGGAGCTGACTTGGACAGTTTGTCAGATTTGGAAGGAGGTGTGGACTTGCTGTCTTTGCCATGTAAAACCTGTGATTTGGCCTGATAGAGCTGATACAGCCCAAAGGGGCAGCCTGGGACTCATAGCACAATTAATGGTTTGCTTGAGGTTGTATCCATTGTGTTCCCACTCCTCTACCTTACCTGCCTGTCCAATGGATGAATTCAGCTAGCACTGTTTAGACCAGCACAGATCCACTGAATCCCACTTGTGATACACATCAGGCTCCCAACACCTACCATGGCAATATCCCACCAGAGGAGAAGCAGGGCACTGAGGGCTGCCTGCTCTGCAAGGATAAATGCTGACAGTTCCCTAAAACCTGCATCTCAGACAAAAATCTTTTAGGGTGAGAGTTTAACATAATTCCTTGTTCAGCATTAGTAAAAGCAATGTTTTAGTCCTCATTCTAGGGGTAGCACCTCTTGGTATGTCACATACCTGAAATACTAAGAGGGACAAAAGTCTGAAAGTGATTTATCAAAATAAGAGCAGGTGAAGTGCACACAGAGCAGGCAGCATAAAGGGAAATATCTGGAGAGCACTTTGAAACATTTTTATAATACCAACCCAGATATAAGCATATCAGAAAACAAACACTAGAGCACTGGCTGTGCCTAGAAACCAGTTTCAAGAAAATAAACCCATACAAAGCAAAAACCCTATGGATTCCATCCCCCCTTGATTTTCCTACTGAATTTACACAGCACATTCCAATGCTTGCAGGAATACCAGCTCAAAGTGCTAAAAATCATGCCCAAACTTTAAGGAATTGCAGTTAAAGTCCCAGAAAAAAAGAGAGCAGATCTGAGCGTGCAGAGTGCAGGATGGTGGGTTTAATAGCTGGTTACTGCCGGGGGAACTGGGAATATTGCTTTGTGCCTTACACACAATAAGGGTATAGGATACTGAGCACTCTCCAGTCGTTGGAAGGGAGCTCAGCATTTTTTAATTATTGCATTTGTCTTGTTATAGCTGTAACCTGAGTTCCTTTAATCCTTGGAACACTAATTCATCGGATGGCATCACCATCAACTTGTCTGGGAATCCTCTGCTGTGTGACTGCCAGCTCTCCTGGCTGCTGTCCAAGCCTGAGAAAGTTGTTCTGCAAAAGTAAGTGAGCTTAAGGAAATCAAGTAATGCTCGTCAGACACAGCTTCAATGTGCCACTTATTTGGGGACCAGACAGTCACCACCATTCACTAAGTTATTCAAATTCCTTGTGTGTTCTTCCCTTCCACAAGGGGTAGAAATGCAAAATAATGTCCCTTTCAGGGACAAAACATAAAATATTATTAGCTGTGGATTCTGCTTTAAGATGAGAATATTTTTTTCTGTTTTGGACCATATTTCACTATTAGCTGAAGATATAAAATGAGCTGCCTTGATGTGCCAGCGCTGAGAGTAGAAACTGGAAAACTTCGGAGGATATTTAACAAATTATTTTCTCCTAACCCAGCTATTCACAAAGCTTACATCACCACCAGCAGTCAACAAAACCCCTTGCAAATAGCACCATTTCTCACCTATTGTTTTCGTGCTCCCCTACAGTTTTACAAGCTAATTACAATAAGCTGCAGTTAAAAGAAATATTTGCATATAAATGGTCTCTCTTCCTTTTGAAAGGCCACCAAGAAGATTTGTTATCAAATCTCTCAGAGAGCAGGGAAGTAGATTGTTGAAATTAGAGAGTTTTGCATCGGGATGGGTTTAGCAGTTGCATTCTTTACCAAAACTTCAGTGTCGAGTAAATATCGAAGAATTCGATCTTAGTAATTTAAAAGTCCCGCGTCAGCCCACCTCCAGCTGCCTAAAGCAGATGGATTAAGAATCCTGGGAATCCTGTTACATCTCTCTGCATGTGTTCCCCTTTAAGACAAGTTGCCTTGAATCCCGATGCCCTTTGCTAAAGTTCACAGCCATTGTTGTACCAAAGGACGCTTCCCCTCGGGCAAAGATATCCCTGCACCTTACAAAACCGAAAAGCCAGCTCCAGCTAAATTCCACAGTCAGTGCTGTGGAAAGCTGCCTGGACTATTGTTAGGACAATCTAGCTTTGGTCTAGGTTTCACATTCTCACTGACATCGAGACTGTTTTGACAGCAGGTCACCAATTCCAACCCAAGCAGCCTACAGAATTCTGTCATGTTCTTCTGGGTGTTGACTATTCTGGTTTCCTTCTGCAGGGCTTGGGAGACTTTTTGCACATCCCAGGAAGATTCGGGCAGACTTCCAACATCTTTTTCACTGCTGGAGCTCTACAATAAATGCCAGTCGGAGAGCAATGTTACACTGCCCAATTCAACCACAGCCCTTCCTGATCATGATGCTTTCAGCTTCTCCAGTGATGAGACCTCTGCTGTTGTAACAACAGACTCAGCTCTGCCGACCACGGATTTGACTCACACCAGCTCCCTAATCCAGAGGGATGTGATGAGCACGGCAGCATCCA